GATAACATTATTGTGAAACGTGAAGAATTTATTATATATAAATGAAGCATGAGACGTTTTCAAGTATTGTTTATTGTCATCCTACTCTAAAGCAACATGAAAACTTCTCAAAAGACCTATTGTTTGAACCATGGTCAAATGACGAGAAAGATACCTGATCACTCTCCGAACTTCCCCGTTACATCAACGTGAGGATTTTGAATCCAAGTATTAAAAACACAAGATGTAAGAGCGCATGCACACGCAAGTAATATCGCCATCAAGCGACATTCAAAGTGATATTATCATTATAACCAGGCAACCTTTTGAAAAGTAGGCCTTTAGTGCTCCGGAAAAGATTTCAAGTTGATAAATTCCTCTTAATCAATTGAATGAAACTTTCATAGACTCAAATATGAACACTGGATCTTATCAGATATTGTTCGAGGGAGGGGGTTAATTTTGATTCAATGTGTGAGTGTACAGCTTAAATTATGTACAGTAAGTACACTTGTGACGGATCTATACGCGGTTCTACTAATACCTTCATGACTCTGTAAGAAAAATATTTATTTCAACCAACTTTCATCGAGTAAGGAAACGTGATTATGTAAATGAAGTATATTATATAAATTCTGTTTTCGCGAGTTCGTGAGTTGACACGTTGGAGTTGGCAAGTAGGAGTTAACATAAAGTCTGCGAGTTAGTGGTTAGTTGAAGATTGGAAGAGAGTGGAATTAGTTAGAAGTCTTGGAGTTGTCCAGGAAAAAGATTACAGAGCGTGGACCCAACGACATTGATCAAGCCGAAGAGATCACCTTCAAGTTTCCAGTGTAGGATCCGATGCATAAAAAGTTCAGGTATTGTGAGTTTGATTAAGTAGAAGTTAGTGTATTAGTGTGCGACATAGTTATATTTGAGCGTATTTAAGCTGTCTTAGATTCAGTTGAGGGTCTGTAGTAGTATCCCCAAGTTATAGAATCTCACCTCCGCGCTCTACTATATATCATCTACCTTAATTAGAACTGTATTGTGCCTGGTTGATATTTGGAATTAATAAATTGATTAGATTGAAATCATGTCTGTGGGATCATTCAGTTTCTCCCACACATCTAACCGGGTTTATAGGTAAACAAGGGGGTTCAGAGTCGAGCAGGAACCGACCGCTATCACACACTGTCCCTGTTTTTGAGTGTGGCCCTGTATCCATGTTTCCTGGGGGCTCTTCGCAGGAGCCCCTTAAACTTTTGCAACTTTTTTGCTTACACGTTTTAAGGTCTCCAAAACTTGGGTGCCTTATATCATTGATACGGCTAATATCGCGGTAACTACGCCCTTGTACACAGTTCTCATTTGTTAAAGCTCATTTACACCAAAGCAGTAAGCAGCTAGAGGTGAAGATGTAACCAATCAGAGGCCTTTGCACAATGATACAATGGTTTCTTATTGGTTAAATCTTACCCGCTTGACTGCGTTGACAAGAACGAGCATTTCATGTTAGGTTTTGTAAGGTGAAAAACCATGGCACAATCAAAGACATAACGTGCTGAGTCTCCACTAGTGAGAGCTTTGATATTAAACCAATTTAATATTAAAAGAGAAGAAAGAGAAGATTAAAATTAAATCGATTAATAACAGATTTAATATTAAAAGAGATAAGAGAAAAGTCCATGGTTGGTAAAGAAATATGTTTGTGAATGGATTTTGACATTTATTGTTAACTCTAAGTATGACTTCCACACAGTGCCAGATTAATTTCGTTAGCTATTGCAATAAACAAAAAGTTTAACTTCGATATAAAAATGACAGAAGTGCCAAATTTTTTGAAATGGAGAAGAAATATGACCAACTGAATATGTGAAAAACGTATACTTTTGAAATAATAAATGCATAAACTAAATAGAAATTAAAAGAAATGCTCTAAGAGCCCGGATGAAAAAAAATGCCCGATTAAAATGATGCTCCAGATGTACCCAGGTGGTAAAAAAAAGTAATTATTCTGCAATCTTCTACAAACATATAAAGAGTGTGAAATAAGTCGGAATGCCAATGTATAGATTATTATGTGATGTACAATAGCACAGATTATAGTATGATTAAAATTGTTTTTCGCTATTGTTAAATAGTATATTAACTGACGCATTAATGATTACTAAATAAATAAATAAGTGTTTTGTTTTGTATTTATATGATAAGAAAAACCAATTGTGTTTTCAGAGTGAGAGAAAGAGAGAGCGCTCGGGGGCAAAAAATGATAAAAGCTGAAACGAAACAAAGCATATGAGCATTATACACTGATAGATGAATTCAGATACAGCCACGGAGAATTTTTTAAAGTAAAGAACGGGTGTGAAAATGTCTTCAAGGACAAATATATCACCATTCGCTGCTAAAAATTTTAATTCCATTTTGAATATCTGCACCCCTGAATATAAATTTATGCATGTAACTCATATATATGTGTATATTTCTTATGATATATCATTAAGATATGATATTGAACTATTTTTTAATGTAATTGATTGCATCTAATGATTGCAGTAAACCTTTGGAAGATACAGCAATCTCGATTGGGGTTTGCGCTCTTAGCTGAAAACCTGATGCAGATTTAGATAAAAATTCTCACGACATGGCCGACTGATTTTAGAAAACTACAATGCACATTTTCAGCATACGGAGTTCGTCCATATTAATAAAAAAGGGGGTTAATTTTCCTTGTAGCCACTAAAATAAATTTTTTTTTAAGATTTGAGACATAGGATAAGGGAAAAAATTATATGCACATTAATTAACTCCAAAGCATGAATTGAACAAAATGAAGCACGAACTGAATGATATAATCCCAATATTAAAGACTATGCTAAAATAAACTCCATTTATATATTTTTAATTTTTACTAATTTTTTTAAAATTCACATTATTATATTACATAAACTCAATAATTATATACTACAAAACAAAACAGGCCACAAATAAGATAGCCAAAGCAGTATAACAGTAAACTCTTAACCTGGGAAACTAATATTTAGTTTTTCAATACAGTTAACATAGTTTTAACGCCAGCCAACCTTCCCTTATATTTGCCTATATTACTGAGTAGCAAAGAAGAGAAAAAAATAGCGTAAAAAAATTCTAATAACACCATAGTATTGAAGATTGTACAGTACTAGACATAGTACATTCAATGAAAATGAAATTCAAAACATTCACGTCGTTTAGTAATGAAGCTAAAGGGACAAGAAGTACCGGATTAGGTGCGTCGTCCTTGTCATTTAACCAAGATTGAAAACAATAAGTTAACAGCTCCATATTGCTCAGTAAAATAAAATATGAATTCAAACTAAAACAAATCCAAAATTTCAACATCAAACTGTATCATCAATAGTGGTACCAAGGAGCCCTAACAGTAAACCGGTGATGTCGGCTCTCTCTCTCTCTCTATTTCTGCTAAATATTCGTTGTGTAGAAAGGATTGATGTATGGTAAGTCCCTGGGAGCTCAAAGTATTTATGTCGACATGCATGTGGTAAATAAAATGCCAACCTTGAAGTCAATCATGATTAAAAATTACGACATTTCTTAAGTATAATTAACGGACTCTGTGTGTCGGGTAGGAGTAGAAAGCGATGGACGGATTTTTAATTAGTATTACCCCACGAACAAATTTGAGGATTATTGTAGCGACGAACGCATAATTTTAAACCACAGTCAAGCGATAAGAAAACCTGAGTTAGCATCACATTTTCTAAACATCTACGCCACGCGAAGGTTTTGATCTTCGACAGATTTAACGTGTATCAGTCTTTCTCTGTATGGCAGGTATTCAGTAACGTAAAATATCGAGCCCACTACTCGACAGAAACACCATCAGCCACGAGATCGCGACCATGATCAATCAGCTAGTGTGACCACATAGGGGACTGGAAGCATTCAAAGTAACTATTAAATCAAGAAATCTGTTTTAGCACCCTTTTATAAGCTTCATTTGAATGTAACAAGACTTTTCAACTCAATAATATTAAAAGCTCAGATTAATTCGAAATTTTGCTCAGTTGTCCAGGATCAATATCAGTACAATAATTTCATTATTTTGTTCCATTGTTCTGATCAGGATTAACGATTTCCCCTTTTTTCAGATCCCCTCCCACATCTGGTGGTGGCCGCGGTAGCCGAGTGGTCAAAGTATCGAATCATGGCAGGCACATCATGAGTTCGAGCCCAGTACCACTAAAGACCCGCCGTATAGAGGAGCAATGCACGTCAAATCTGTTGAGAGCTCAAACGCCCTCTCATTGGTGTGGTAGTTAGGAGAGGGAATGCCAGCTCAGGTGACGTCCGCATCACTTGACCATGGTTCAAAATTACGAGTACCGTCGCCAAAAGCCCTCGTGTAGCTGAACAGTGTGACGTTAATACTCACTCATTCATTCCCACATGTGGCGACTAATTTTAGATCCCATTTCCAAAGTTGGCGACTTAAATATTAAGTTACAACTTAGTTCGATTAACTATAAAAGGGTTTTTTTTTAACTCCAATAATTATACTTTCAGATACATATTTTTCATACCTCTTTTTTTTTTTCTTTTTGGAGACTAAAATGCGTAAGTATGCTAAATGCGTAATTATAAAAGATGCTCGATTTCACACGCGATAAGAAGATGGAATCAAAATTTTGAACCATTTGTGTGCTGCTCAAAAAATAATTTGTATTTAACTATATTTAAATTTAAACAAGTAATGTATAAAAAAAAATTAAGTCAGTTTTTACTTACGTCAACAAAGGAAAATTTTATTCTAGTTACTCTTATTAAATAATTAGAATTAATATAAATATGTTTATACAAATGACAGAATCAGAATAGTAATTGACAAAATAGAAAACGATTTTCCTTGCTTAAATTTCCATTTTCCTTTCTATATAGGGTATAAGACAATTATTTTGTGTTTGTTACTATTTATTCAAAAATTGAATTCAATTATTCCAATAAAATAGAAGAAGTCACTTTCTTAGAAATTAGGCTATCCCAGGTGGAATTCAAATTCACGGCCTTTGGATTAGAAGTCTAACGCGCTATCCATTACGCTACAGGGACACATCGAGAGATTTTCCTTTTTATATATATGGTGTTGGACAATAATTTTTTGTTACTATTTATTCATTATTTAAATAGAATTTATGAATTAACATTTGAAAAAACAGAATAAACATCAAGTGGTATTTGAACTTGAGTAGATGAATAAAAAGTATTTTATTAAAGATTGAAAATTTTAACTATATATATATATATATATATATAGGGAGAGTGTGAACTAATAGTAGAATTGAAAAACCGGTTCGGTAAAATAGAGCAACACAATCATCATGAGCTGCTTCTTTCCACATAAATCTATTTATTAAAACCGAATTTCAAATAAATATAAATCTAGGAAGATTCTAAGAAACTTATGTAAAATAAAACGAAATATATATGTATAACAGACGGCATATATAAAACGGCATACTCCGTAACTTACTTCACATTGCCATCCTATCCTTTTCACTCTAACAAGGTGAGTACTAGGTCTTGATGTCACGGATTTAGTTCAAATTTTGTAAGATGGTAGATTTAGTTTCCCTGTTGATGAAGATACATAGTTATAGGGGTCACTACTCGAAAATTGTTTAGATATTTGCAATTGAAGGTGCAATTTACTTGTTACAAAATTCAATTCTGTAGCAAATGATTACACGTAATGGATTTAGCGTAGAAGCAATGGATCGGTGTTCTTCGTCGTTAGGAGCCGAGTTTGAGTCCGTGGAGGGAGAATAACTTTTTTATTTCATGTCCATAATTACATATAAAGATGCATAATGGAGTTTAAATAAATTGAAAATGAAATGTCTTTAATGACTAGAAACCTTAGAATGTTGTCATTATTATTCGTATAAGTACAGAATAATTATTATAAAACAATAAAAACATTTCGCAAGAAAACAGGAGAAAAGCCCTTTAACTGCTATTTAATCGTGCCTGGAAACAATAAATGAAACATTTATCAGATTAACAGTATAAAAATATGACTAGCTTCTTACTCCTCATTGCCCGAACAAAGGTGAAACTTGTCATAAATGCAAATGAAACATAATTTCGAAAAGCATTTACGCGTCGAATTAGAGCAGTATTCCGCATTACGTGTAATCATTTGCTACAGAACTGAATTTAACGAGTGAATTCCACCTTCAATTACAAATGTCTAAAAAAAATATTGAGTAGTGGGACCCTATAACTATGTATCTTCATCCAACAGGGAAACTAAATCTACCATCCTACAAAATTTGAGCTAAATTCGTAACCCCAAGACCTTGCACTCTCCTTGTAAAATATAGCTTTTCCCGCCATATTTTCATCTTTTCGAAAACACAAGATGAAGTACTTCAAAGTGCGGTTCTGATTATATCTTCTTCCAGTCTGGTCCACATCTTATTGGAGATTAATGCTACCTCTCGACTTCCTTGCAAGTTTCTCGAGGCCCAACATCGTTTATTTCGAGTCATGCGTGCGAGTCCTGGTGGCACTAAAGAAGCACCGTGTAAAGGAGCTGATGCACATTAAATCTGTCGACATTCAAAGCCATAATGTTGTCATGGAATGGAAGTTTGGAGAAAGAGGTGTGAGTTCAGGTATCGTCCACGCCCTGGGGGGGGGGCTTGGGATCTTGCCAACTCTCATTCCCTTCCATCACCCTCTCAATAGGACTTTCGGCTATACCGCATATACATTTATAAGTATCCATGTCTTCTCCAGGATTCCAACTCAGGTCCTACAGCACAGCAGTCGGAGTCACTAACACAATTTCGTCTGGGTGGCCTCCGCTAGTTACAATGTGTGAAGATTTTTTTATATTCACTCATTAAAAATGTTAAATAACAATTAAATAGTGCGATGATTCAAGCGTTAAAAAAATCCAAATATTCATATAATTAGAATCGTGACGTCTATTATATTATTTTTTAGGTAGGATACTTATTAATCATACAGCAAATAACTGGATGCAAAACAGTGCCATTTGCCACTGTGGTGATTCAGAATTCGGTCTTTCCCACGTGGTTGTATGAAAGCCAAATATCCTTTGTGTCATGTTTGTTTATTTAAAACCGAAGTGTTTTGGCGAAGCTCATGATTCTCGAGGCCTTGTCTAAGCGCCAGCAAAAGCGCGCGGTGATTTCACGTGATTCCATCTGTTGCTATCGTCGCAACAAAGCGACTCCCATGACCACTGAAGCATAAAACAAAAATGCCCAGCACCAGGATTGTTTCGATTCATCTCGCAAATCAAAAAATCCAGTTCAAGGTACGCAGGCTCAAGGCAGCTGTTAAAAGAAAAGGAAAATATATAAACAAAAGATTCCAACACAATCACATGGTTTTTAGATCCTCCCTACATAGATGGTGAGTTTATAACTTCACAGAGAGATCAGATTTATTTTTTGAGACCGAAGTTGTCAACAATTCGTAATATTCCATAGAATCGTGTCACAGGTTTATTTGTATTAATTACATAATGCAAAATTATTTTGAGAAATAAGCAATAATTGAAACAGGTAAAAAAACGAAGCCTTAAGTGAATGACAGATCCAAAGAAAATGTAAGTAAAACACGCACGCGAGATTTTTTCCCCCTTGTGCTACATATACAGTCAGAACCCGTTTTAACGAATTCGTCAGAAACGAACATTTTGTTCGTTAAATTGGGGTTATTCGTTATATCGGGGCCCAAACAAAACACAATTTTTTTGCACTTTTGGAAGTTCTTTAAAAAGGAACTAAACATAAACTATCCATTGTTGGAAATTACATGCTATTAGTGAATTATTACGCATCAGTTAATTGAAAATTTTAAAGTACTGACTAATATATGTATATATTTGACAACCTTTTTGATACCTGACTCGAAAAAGTTCGTTTTTCGACTTCATGCAGAGAAAGTACTGCGTCATTTTCATCCTGCTGTACGAGGTATTTTTTCACAATTCCCATACTTAAGGCATTAAAAAATGTAACAGTTTTGATAAAGAGTTTCCTTATCAATTTCTGCTTCATAATCCCAATTCATTGATTCCAACAAATCAACAATATCCTGATCTTCAGTTGCGTAGATACACAGTCCCTCATCTAATGCAACATAATCGTTGAAATCTTAAAATATCCCTTGCGTTGTGGAGTGGGATAAGATAAAAAAAAATGAGTTTCCTGTCCTATTCAAAACTCACGCAACAGGTTGCACTCATAACTCACCTGCACCTTTAAAATCTAATAATGATTTGCATCCTTTTCTGTCGAAATTTGCTATTTGTAAGAAAAATCCATTTTCTGTTCCGGATAAAACGGATATCATTTTTAAAAAAATCCAATTTTTTCTAATACAAACTAATAAAAATTTTTTTAACTGTTTAAATAATTTGTTCATTCCGGGTTTATTATTCATTAAATAGGGGTTTCTGCTTTCATTTTCATCGGAGAAAGAAAGAAATTGGTTAAATCACGAAATTCGTTATATAGGGCTTCGTTAAATCGAGATTCGACTGCAAATATATTCAGTAACACTAGGTCTCGAACTCATGACAAGTTGTCATGAATTCCAGATCTTGTGTTACTGAAGACCCGCCATTCAGAAGGAGCCGTCCTCGTCACTTGACAGAGGTTCAAAATTAGGAGGTCCGTTGCCAATAGCTCCTGTACAGCTTTATAGTGCGACGTAAAAGCTCTCACTCACTCACTCTTGATTCAAAGGAATCTACGGTAGTCTATGGGTCATGGTCATAACCTCGTGGAGGGGCCGCAGTAGACTAATGGTGGCATGGCATGCCATGGGTTCGAGCACAGTATCACGAAAGACCCGCTGTGTAGGGAAACGATGCACGTTAAATCTGTCGAGAGCCCAAACGTCCTCCCGTTGGTGTGGTGTGGTAGTTAGGAGAGGGGGTGCCAGCTCAGATGTCGTCCCCGTCACTTGACCATGGTTCAAAATTTCGAGGTCCGTCGCCAAAAACCCTCGTGTAGCTGAACAGTGCGACGTTAATATTCACTCCCTCCCATAACCTCGTGGCCGGCGTCTTATGACTTGAGTCTCGGTGCCACAAAAGACCTGCCGTGTAGAGGAGCAGATGCACGCTGAACATGTCCAGGGTCAAAGTACTCCCGTGCGCGTTGTGCGGTAGTTGGAAAAAATGGATGCCAGCTCAGGTTTCGTTCTAATCGCTTGACCGAGATTCTAAATTACGAGGTCCTTCGCCAAAAGCCCTCGCGTTGCTTTTATAGTGAGACGTTAATAAAACACTCAAACACTCATTTCGCTGATTTGTTTCATGCAATTAATGAGTCTTATCCTTTTTGAACCTCGGACAAACGACAAGGTCGACATCAAAGCTGGCACCCTCCACATCTACACCGTACTATTGCGAGTACTGACAACTTACTCGCAAGGTTCGTCAGCTTTTACCTTACGACGGTCGTCGGTTGTATTTTCTAGTTACTTTTGTTGTAATTACGTAACGGGAATTCATAATTATTACACTTAGTGAATAAACTGTTATGATATACCGTATAAAAACTAATTAATTAAGTCAATTTCAATTTTTTTAAATATTTTTTACTTGCATTTTTTTAAATGTGTGATACAAACATGGAATGGTTTCATTTCGTAACGGTCGCATGACAAAGGCAAACATGTGTTCTCAATTGAATTGAAAACAGACCTTAAGCTAATTGTACTTTTCTATTTGTAAAACTTATATATAAAATATGAAATTTCATAACTGTGGGTAAACATTTTCAAATGCTATAAAAAAAATTTTTTCGAAAAGAATTTAAAATTTTTTAAAAAAAGTCAGGATTGTGTGTATATTGAAACTAATTAATATAAATTCGAGGAAAAAAATTATAATAAAATTTTGTAGTGGATTATATAAATTTAGGTCAAGGGAATTTCGCGGCAAAAAAATCGTGGTTAAAGTAGAAATGCTTAAATATTCTTGCCAGCCATTTTGCTTACGAGGCAGAGAATAACTTGCAACGTTTTTCAAAAAAAAAAAAAATAATAATAATTAATTAAAT